AAAACTTCATTAGCATAACTATTTTCAGTAAAGGGAATATATTCATTGTTTGCAGCATAGATTAGCTGATCGTTCCTGAGTAGAGTTCAGATCTATTCAGAATAATTAAACAAGGCTTCACCCTTCCCTCTATGAGGTTGCTGATGGAGAACACAAGGGACCTCTTCCCCTCCCACCCCAACACACACATACAGAGTGCAGGCCTATACCATAAGCGATAGCTATGCTTGTGACTGATCATAATGTCATTTAAGTTCTAAAACAAGGCAGTATAAAAGTCGCACTGTTCACAGCTTTGAATATTGTTCTCTTTGATTAAGGAAAAAAAACCAAACAAAGCAGATTTAAGTGCAAAAGGAAAACATCACATAAGGTGAAATTTTAGGGCAGGTCTGACCACAAATTAAGAAAAAGACCCACAACAAAAGAGAAATAAAGTTGTAAATAAAAAGAAGATAAGGTCACTGACTACACACCACTAGGATGACTGAATATTATTAGGTATTTTACTTTTCTCGACCATAAGGGTTTTCATTCAACAGTTACAAGTTTTGCTGCATGGAGATTAAGCCTTGCCCACTGTCGTTTCAGAAGGGAGGGGGGTGGGGGGAAACAACAAAAGTATCCAGAATCACTGCAACATGTCTGGTAAAAAATACCAAACTGCTAGAATTAAGGAAGACATTGTAAAGCATGACAACAAAAGGAACCATTTCTAGTCTCATCAGACCGTTAAATGTCCTTAGCCATACATTTGCTGAAACCAGAAAGGCACTTGACTAATGCAAAGCTGGCTAACTTTCTTGACCTCATCATCTAAATATCTTATCTGGCTAAGAGCCACAAGATGAGATGGTCCAGAAATTATTCTTGGACAGAAGATCTAGACAACTTCTGTGGGGTCTCACCACATCAGTTTAAGGCTGGGCTTGGCTAAATACGTAACCAGCTCCGAGTCACACTAGTGATAAAGGTTGTTAACAGTCCCTAGTAGGTAACTGTATCCAATAACCAGAAATTTAGATTACATGGAACACTTCATGCCAGTATTATCCCATGCAACCCAGCTGCAGAGTTGCCCTGGCGGGCAAGTCACACATCAGCTGTTCCAAATACATATTCCATCTAAGTGCCATAGGTTGGCCATTCTTTTAAGCCTGTCTTCAAATCAACATCAGATGTCTTTCTGGAAAGAGACAAAACACAAAGAAAGAAAATTCACTGCTTCCTTTACTCAATCACACCGTAATAATAAAAAAAAAAAAAGCACCATTTTTAAATATTAGTTGGTCTGCCTCCAGCTTCTCATTACTCCCCCCCCCCGATTGGAGAGCCTATTTTAGTAGTCATTTTTGCTTTCTGAAGGAACATATTCAATGGAATTACTGCTTTATACTAAATTCTTCCTTTTAAAACTCAAGACTGGGCTGCATAAGCAAAACCAGCCTGCAGATCAAAGGAAATGATTATTCCACTCTGCTTGGCACCTGTGAAGCTACATCTGAAGCATGGTACGTCCACTTTTGGGACCCCAAATGCGAAAGAGATTGATAAGCAGGTCCAGTGGAGGACCACCAAGATGGTTGAGGGCTGGAGAACATGACAGATGAGGTGAGACTAGTGAGCTGAATTTGTGTAGCATGAAGAATAGATAGCTAAGTGAGGAGAACTAATTGCTCTCTTCAACAACCTAATTGGCTTTCGTAGAGAAGACAAAGCCAGACTGCTTTCAGAGATGCAGAGCACACTGACAAGAGGAAATACATACAGCTTGCAGCAAGAGAAATTCCAGATAGATACAGAGAACAGTTCTTCACCACAAGGGTGGTCAAACACTGAAACAACTTGTCCAGAGCAGTTGTGGAATCTCCACCCTTGTCAATTTTCAGACCTCACCTTGACAAACCCTGGAGCAACCTGGTCTAGTTTTGAAGTTACCCTCCTTTGAAGAAGATGTCAGACTAGATGACCTCCAGAGGTCCCTTCCAACCTAAATTATCAGTTTAACTTTTAAATTATTTTACAATTTTGTGTTCTTGAGGCAGAGTGATTTTTGTGCCTTTTCCCCAGACCCTTCCTAATTTTTCAACATTGCAAAAAAAAAACCAAACCCCAAACCCCCACCCATATGGACAACAGGACTGTAACCTGTATTGATGCAGAATTCACATCATTAATATAACCAAGACAGATTAATAGAGTAAAGTGTATGACTTCCTTACTCTTTCTCTGTATTCAACAGAATTTCAGCCCCTCTGCATTAACTTTCTATTTGGGACTGTAGCTCACTTTTTTGTCTCTGTGATGCCTACTTAATTCCAGGGTAGGGTTTCCTATTAAGCAGGTATGTTCTATAACGGAAGGTTTCTAAAAGTACAACTTCAGATTTTGCTGTGCAATAGCAGACTGTTTGAGTGGGTCCCACTAAGCAAATGATCCAGATAACTCTGCAAGAGTCGATCTTTCTATCCTCTACAAGTTAACAGAAGTAACTGCTTTACAACACCATAAAGAAACTTTACTTGGAGCATGCTTCCTACTCCTCTCCCCTTCAAAAGCTTTAGAAAGCTTTTTAATTAATGTAATGTTTTATTGATGGGGGGGGGGGGGGTTTATTTGTTCTTTAAGAAAAAGACTGTATCAAGGCATAATTGTATTATACATACTGGGTATTTACACCAAGGAACCTTGTTCTAAAACAAAATTACATTAGAATTTTTTTTTAATAAAGTTTTATTTCCATTAAACCACCTCAGCATTAATTCTAATAATATTCTTTTACATTTACTGAATCCCTCCATTATTTTTCCCCAGGATTGATGTGAGGTTAATAGTTATTTAGGTCATCCTGTTTGACCTTTTAAAATAAGACGTCTTCAAGGTCTTTTGGAATTTCCATTGTATTTTAAGTTATTGGGAGGGACACCTCAGAAAAGAGATATTCTCAGCCAGTTCTTTTAGAACTCCTGGGTGCAGATTACAAAGACTTGCTTATAGGCTTTGTTAAGAAATGTCTATCATGGACTCTCAGAATCTTCCTTGTAACTTCTAGATTTTAAGTACTTAAGTCACCTGTGAGATATTATAATGTAATCTCACTTCTCTCTAAAAAACCCCCCAAAATATTTATTGTAATCTTCTGCCTTTTCTCTTTCACTACGAATCACGTTATCATTGTCACCTACATTACTGTTAGCACTACTTCTCAATTTTTAACAATCTCACCTTTGTTATCCTTTGCCTTACTAGTCAAGGTTTTTTCTCAGGAACATTTTGTTTCTTTTAATCAGTTTTCTACATTTTTCATGCCCCACTCAATGCCATTTCTCTTCTACCATCCTCGCACTTACACTTTACAGAAAAGGAGGGAGGGGCCCTGAATTTCCTCCTTCACACTGTAATGAAAGCAAGATGGATTTTAACAGAATTTGCCCTTTATGGACAACATTTATAGTTGTTAACTATATGTAATTTATTTGGGGAAGTCTACCATATACCTATTTACATAATTTCTCACACGCGCACACACCCACACACCATTTTTGTACTTTAGTCTGGACATGCATATAACCAGACTTCTAAGTGACAAACAAAATTGTGTCCCATATCAAATCTTAAGTTATCACTAAAAAAAAAAGTTAAAATGTTTCAAAAAAAATGATACACATACAAAAAAAGACCTATTTGGCCCAAGTTGTTGGCATGCAGCATTTTACTCTGCTGTATCAATGCAGAAGTATACCTTTCTCTATTATCATTAAATTCCCCCCTCCGCAACATCAACCCGTTATAGTTCTCTTTCCTAGCATATTTACATCTTCTCTATCGGTCTTAATTCACAGTCCATTTCATAATGGCTCCAATACTTTTAGTCCCTATCACCGCCATTTTAAGCTCAAAAAAATCTACCTACCTACTTTGCCCTTCTACCTTTTTATTCTCTTCGATTAATCTCATTTTTCTTTCAGCTGAACCAGGCCCGTCCACTGCCAGTTCCACATCCCTATCTTAAGCTGCTGTCTATGTTTAAGTGACCATGTTTTCCTTGGCCTATTCATGCATCTCCAATTATCTCTTTTCTCTAGCACAGAGACTTCCCAGATCCAGTCATTTTCTTTTACCATCTCCCCTTTCCAGTCTCCCACCCTGTCACAACTTTTTTGACTTGTAAAATAGAAATGCAGATACATTCATACAGAACTAGCACATCTGCCCCATGCAGTCATTTCATGCACTACATGCATAACCACAATACAGTATATTATGTAATTAGCAATACCGTAATTTTGTTAAAATTTGCTGCTCTAAGGCAAGCTTATTGTCTTCTGAGGGGGGAGATCAGATAAATAGCACATTCTGATCTGTTTCCCTATTTACAAATACACCTGTTTAAAGTTTATATAAATGCACTTGAGAATGTGCATTTATACTAAAAGATACATGGACAACAGTTCAGTGTCCAATACTTTTAACACCTTTGCCATCTCAAAAAGAAGATAATTCAGACTACGTTCAGGATAACGAAGTTTCTTCATAATACCATGAAGCCAAAAACCCACCACTGGTGGATTCAACCTTCTTAATTCTGCACCCTTTTCAGGAGTAAGCTCACAGCATTGCTAAGCCTCCATGTGCATCAACTGGTGTCACTATAGAGACAAAAATAACACAGTAGCAAAACAGTAGAGGTTTGAACCAAACAAAACCAGTAATATCAGGAGCAAAAACTACATACTCAAATTTCTAATATTTTTTTAAAGTCTTCAGTTTTACCTTAAGTAAACATTTTACAATAATTGCTAGTTAACACTCCCCATAACAACAGCAACCCAAAAATAATTACAGCAAGAACAAATGACTTCCGGGCTTCCCAGAAAACGCCTCTTATATTTAAATTTAATTCCTGGCATTATGCCAAAATGGGGGATGGGCACCTAAGTGGAAAAATAACTTCAAAGGCCTCTAAAACATTAATGCAGAAAACAAGTTGCTTCTCTTACCTGGCGAGAAGGTGGCATGTGCAAAATGAGATTCCTCCTCTGAGCAAGCCACTGACGCGTAGCTCATTTGCATAAGTACCACGAGCTACAAGTAGACTTCCAGGTCGGCCATCTTGATACTAAGATCTTGTTTTGTTTACGTAGCAGCATGAGTGCTATTTTTTAGCGAGCGTGAGCTATGCTGTTCTACCTCTCAGCTAGTAGCCTACATCTGCTTGTTAAAGCCTGCTGGAACTCCCACTTCTCCACACAAGTGGCTGAACATGTCAGGAGTGCCCCTGCAGCTCACTGAGCATGCCACAGCCTCCAAGGGAACGTTGCAACTGCAACTGCCTCCAGTCGGACTCTTTGTACTGCCTTCTGTGCTGCCAACTATTAGCACTGCAGCAACTATGTGCAGTGAAGTACCTCCCACATACCACACAGTAGTACCAACAAGCATAAATTTATTACAGCACAGTGCAAGACAACACAAAAAAAAAAAAAAGAGCTGAAATCTCCTCAGTATTTTCACTTACTAGCAATCTAATTACACATAGGTTCCTTTGTACATCTTTTCACTTTCATCAGTGTGGCTCTTTCAGTCCAGAAACCAGCGTGCTCCTGCAATCCATGCACAGGAGAAGTCCATGACACATGTTAGTTGCTGCCGACACGGAGCCAGACTGCAGTTACAGCTAGCTGGCGCCAGTAAAAATTTACATAAAGGGGGCCTCATTTCAAGACTAAATTGCAGCAGGATATTGCTGAGCAAAGCCTCCCCCCCGCCCCCGCGAGACTACTACGGGTTCTAGAATATATCGTCTAGTTATTTGCTTACTAATAATCCAGATCCATGTCAAAAGTCAAGTGCTGCTCTTACTGTTTATATAAACAAAACCTGACAGTAGTCTCTGCAAAAGAAATTCCACCTTGAAGCCTGTTCCTAGTAGGAATGCTACACACTGCATTGTTCACAGCGATTCTGGTGAGCGCTCTGTAGTAATTGAAATAACACCGAATGGGTATGCTCAATGCTCAGTAACCAGCTTTTCTTAAACTCATACTTCCAGTATTTTGCAACCTACCAATAACAAATAAGTAAGTATGAGCTCCAAGTAGGACAGATCCATTTTTAACCTAATGCTGACACTTAGCATGTCTGGCCATTTAATTTACTGTTTCCACTTCACATTTAATTTTTCTTCATTAGGGAGATCAAGAAAAAAATCCCCCATCTGGAACTGTGGACTTTTTCAAGTACCTAAAAGGTACAGTGACAGGTAGAGGCAGAAGCTTCAATTTCAGCCTCACTCTGACTTCAAATAGTTAATTTCTTAATTCTTAGTTTTTTTCCTTCCAGTCAAAATCCAATTATATCAATAAATGAATTACACTTTACAAATGCTTATTCTAAAAGTTACTGTATTTTTTCAGAGGGAAAAAAAAGAAGCCAGGCTTTGCTTACTATTAAGTGTGCATATGTGGAAGATGAATCATCCGCCAATACCTTTTTCCTCTCATTTGCTGCCTCGTAACAAACTCTTAAGAGCATGAAACAACTCAATGCAAATAAACATACTATTTATTATACCAACGATAAACATGAATTTGTGAAACCCTAAATAAAATGAAGTTAAACCCACAGTAATGTTTGTCTAGCTACACTGCTGTAGTTGCAGCCTGGCACCATTTAGCGCAAAAAGGAAAGTGATGGAGACAGTGATGCTTGTCGATTCCAGTGGGGCAAAGGCAGAGCCGCCTCAGGACCAGAACAGCCTGCTTTGTGCCACGGGCCTCTTCTAGTTCCCTGCATTGTTCCTCTTTAGAATGCAAACAGCGTCAAGGCTATATATAGTCAAATTACTTTATATGTCCTTTCTTCCACTGTGAGCATAATTTGCTGTATGGCTGGTTCTAGGTTATTTGAGCATAACACAGTTTGCTCATCTGTAATGTCAAAAAGCTACTGACTTTGTGTCTGAAATTATTTAGTAATGCAAATTACTCTTCACTGTTTGTTACAATTCATCCTCAGCTGTTGTATCCAAAAGCCTAAAGCAATGTATAAGGGAAAAATAATTATTTTTCCAGAATGACTGTCACATTAAAATGACAGCCATTAACTATACAAGTGATCTGGTATTGCTCTGCTTTTACATCATGTGTATCTTTTGATTTATCTTACTTTCAGACAGATTTGTGTATGTTAGCACATTTAAGTGCTGTGCAGAATACATCTTTCAGTGATGCTGTTGTCATTTGCAGAATGAATCACCAGATGAACAACTTCTGAGCTTAAAAAGAAAGGGCACCAATGCTGCTTTAAAAAAAAAGCGAACAAAAAACCCCCCTTGTATTTCCCACATACAGCCACTCCCCCGCCCAGCTCTACAGCCTTGTGCACAAATACCAGAATAATAGTATGATTCTCAACACAGTAAAACAGATACTGCAAAATAAGAGCCTTTACTTGGAGCATTTTCTATTCTCGGCTCCAGTCCGCTCAGGGAAGTCCAGGCCAGAGCTTGCCGGCAGCACCGAGGGCGAGCTCTCCATTTGCCGTCTGGGGGAGGCACCACCCCGCTTCCAGAACATTCCGGCACTCACCCACACTCCCTCGGCTTTACCTTCCTCTCTGCGCCGCCTTCTTTCTTGCACCACTAGCTATGATAAAGCTGTTTTCAAACGCAAAATGTTTTTACGGAGAGGAGAAGCAATTGGTTTAGTAGTTAGAAACGCACGAACCCGGTTACACAGGGCACAGGGGGCTACCTCTGAGCTAGAGGTGACCTGGAGGGCTTGCTAAGCCCCAAACCAACTGCAGCAACGTCTGCCTGTCACAGGGAGAGCGGACCAACGGACCCTGAGAACTAGTACAGGGACCACTTTAGCTGCTTCCAAAACGTGATATTTGGGTGGGGGTGTTTTTGTTTCCATTGTTTGGGGTTTTTTGGGGGCGGGGGGTCGCAGGTTTTTTTTGTCGTTTTTTTTTTTTAGTGCAAGAGTCTAACCTGGGAGAATAAACAATAGCATACTCAATTATATTCTCCAGTGATTGCCACTACAGAAAGAGCCAAAATGTCTGCCTGCCTTTCCCATGTTTAGCATGCAGTCAGCGGAAACACCCGAGCGCTTTTACGACTTTGCCTTCTCAAAGTCAGTTAACAGGACTCTTCCTCCAACATGCACACAATTTTCTAGTCTCTCATCAGAAGTGACCTTAAAGAACAGATGTCACAGTCAAAGGTAATAAGGCCAGTTGCATTTGAAATAATTACTATTAGCAGTATGGTTTCAATTGGTACGTATCAAAGACAACATCCTCAAATTTTAAATGTCAGTTGATTCATTTCAGAATAGAAAGGTACAAAAAAGTCTGCTACAGAATGATTTGCCCAATTCAGACACAATTTTAGATATGAAAGCATTTGACAAAGTTTGTCAAAAAAGAAAAAAAAAAACCATGATGAAATCTGTTGCTAGTAGCTTGATCTAAAAACCCAAAAAAACAAAAGAAAACCACACAAAAAGGAAGAAAGAAAAAAAAAAATCCCACCACAGAGGAAAAGAAAATGAAAGGCCCTGGGCCTTCTGTAGGCAACACACAGTCCAAAACACCCCCTTCCCCTCAGACTTTGCCCTCTTCTCCAAAGCATGAAACAGAACAAATTATTCACATAAGTCAGCCAGAAGTTTGGTAGTTCCCAAGTTTTTCTCACATTGGTCTTTGAAAGGCACAGAAAATTATGTTCATTTCTGAAGTAGAGAACTATCAACCCATTGTCTTAGCCAGTGTGATTTATTTCAAGATATTTTACAAGCAGAAGCCTATACCAACAGAAGGAGTAGGGAAGGCAGGAAAGGGAAGGGCGGGGGGAAGGGCTGACAGTAGTATCCACTTTTCTACTGTAGGAAAGGGGTGAGAAAGTATCTAAAACGGATAACTTCCAGGCAGCAACAGAGTCTAATGTTGCACTCCCTTTCTTTTGGAAAGTGAAAATACTCAGTTTGACTCCTTATCAACTTTAGAAAAAAAACATGTTTTGCTCACTGAAATTTACATGAAGAATTTTGTTATTTATTAAACAAATACTGAAAACCTGACAGACCTTAACCTGCAAATCAAGATAATGCAGGGGAAAAAAAAAATTAACATTTGCCTTACTCATAATTCCTTTGAAAACAATACATGTTTTGCTCACTGAAATTTACATGAAGAATTTTGTTATTTATTAAACAAATACTGAAAACCTGACAGACCTTAACCTGCAAATCAAGATAATGCAGGGGAAAAAAAAAATTAACATTTGCCTTACTCATAATTCCTTTGAAGACACTACATTTTTGAGAAAAACATAGTTAAGTTTACACTAAAAATAACTGTTTAATAATAGTCATAATGTGATTATTTAAGATTCAAAACAGTTCTAAGTGCTTGGTAACCATTTATTTCTAGTACCTAAAGAACCAAACAAGTCAGCTGTTTGAAAGTGATTTGCATGCATTAAACAGTATTGCGTTAATTCAGCAGTCCATTCCAGTTTGTTTCGAATCCTCCCTGAAATTGTTTGCTCCCAAAATACCTACCAAAATAGAAGATGCAGCTGTGCAAATTGAGACAATTCTGAGTTTTAAGAGGAACATAAAAAATAATCAAGCCATGTTAGAATGGTTCCAAGCAAGTATGATTTAGTAATGAAAAACTATCCAAATAGTTGAAGCACAAATGAAAATAAAGTAGAATTATTTTCTTATAATCAAATATACCATTTGCAAAAAAATGAATTTTAAAAAAGTGAATCTATAGACTCCTTCAGAGTAAGCTATTGTTGGGTATTTCTCTTTGAAAGTCTCATGTATTTGAGACTGCTACCCTATTAGCAATTTATTTACTTCTGAAAGCCTATCCTTCAAGTTTACCTATCGGCAGCACAAAGCTAATTGTTCTAGAATGCAGCAGGTCTCAGAAGTGGAGAAAATGCAGACACAAGAACACTGAGCAGAGTCTGACAATGCATCTCACATTAAAAATGTATAGTGATCAATTCAGTTGAAGTTGTTAATTCATTATACACAACTGTTTCTAATTCAAGTCATGAACATCTAATTTACATATTTAATAAATGCGGGTTTATTTATTTTTTTTTTTAGCATCCACTGAAGTGCCTTGTTCCCACGGAGGTAAATTGGTGTTTTTCATTTTCTTTTTGACTACTAAAGAACAAACTATTAACACCATGGGAGAGAACAGAGAAAAGATCATGCTGTCAGCTACCAGTACTACTGTACAGCAAGCATTACAGTGTACTTGCACTTCTGGACATAGGGATGTGTTCCATATGCAACACAGGTTTCAAAACCTATCATACTTTATGCATTCCAACACCCACTTCAGGAAAGAAAAAAGAAAACCAGAAAAACACCCAAACCACACCACCCACCCAGCTCACTACAACAAAATGCTACAGCTGCCTGCTGGGCCAGTCATTTTGTACAGCACTTTC